TTTGAATATGGGATTCAACAACCCCTTTCTACCCAAAAAAAAATAAAAATTATTGAATCTCATATTTGACATGTGACATAATACACGTAGGATTCATAAATATATGTCAAATTATATTATTCAATTAACTAAAATGTTCATTATTAAATAAAGAGAAGAATCATGTTTTTTGGTAAAGTAGTCTTTTCATCTATAAACCTCATCTCTCAATTTTGAAACTCATCTCTCATGAATTTTATCAAATTCACGTGCATGGATTTTAATTCACTATTTATTACGGGTCATAATTCATTTTTTCTATAATTCTCGAATCTTAAATCTTGAAGTAAACACAAGTTTAAAGGATACATGAACTATTTTATTAAAACCCACCCTTTAAATCCCATCCAAAACTACATACCAAACATACCCCTAAGCAGTACGGTGATTCTTGAAATTTTGATTTTATATATAGAAAAAAATCTGTTTTGAAAATTCCATCTTTTCTTCACTCACACAGTATCTGGCACCCATCACATGCTTCGAAGGACAACAGTGGCGGACGAACTCTGGCCCCATTTCATAACTGGGATGCACAACAAAGGCAGGAAAAGTCGATGTTATCAGCAATCCTAATGATACATATACGTTAGGCATTATGTGTGAAAATCTCATATCGAATAAAAAAGAGTAAAGTGTCTTAATTTATTATGGATAAACTCACTACTTATAAGCTTCAATTTTTCGGATAGGTATGAATTTTGATGTGTATTCCGAACCTTGTATCATTTAGTTTTTTTTCTTTCAATAATTGGCATTTAGTTTTTTTTTCTTTCAATAATTGGTATTAGATTCGATAACTAACAATTGTGAGTAAACTTTCGAAAAAGCGGTATAACGAGCTAGAGTTAATAATGATTTTAAAAAAAAGTGATGAGTTTTTAGTATTAAAATCATAAAAACATAAGTCCAAAAAAAAAGAGTAGAACACGAGGACTCTCGGTGAAATGGTAAAGTAATAGACTTTTAATATTAAAGTCATGAAGAGATAACTGAAAAAAAAGAAAAAGAAAAAAAAAAGTTCAGTGTCTGCTTGGGCGTAAGGGCTCTCAAGCTTTGGCAACAATTATTTGGGATATTTTCAGTTAAAGATATCTCTTACGGATTTGTGTTTTAGAACTTTGACTTTTTGATTTTTTGTTACTTGAATTTGAGTCCTACGTGATCTCACTGTACATTTTTTTTTGGTGTTTCGTTGTTTATCTAGTTCTCTGTTAATACATTTTATGTTTCGAAGAACAAAGAAAAAAGTAGGCTCTCTCGAGAGTGATAATGCGATGACGCAAAGGGTGTTAGATCACTGAGCTTCTTGTCTCCCAACATGAACACAAGAGTCTTCACAAAGCTGTCAGATCATATTAAAGACCATCCAGGACAGAATGACTTCAGTAAAGTTCAATTACACTCGTTGCACTCAACTTCTTGTGCAGATCGATTTGGCT